GGTGAATACAGTTTCCACGCCACAGAGGGTACTTTGTAATACAACTCAGTTGCTGGAGTTATGTGAGAGCTTTGAAAAATACATAGTGTGCAACAGAAGTGAAAATTTCATGCTGGTGGCAGGAAATACAGCCCTATGTCTTTTGCAGAAACACCCTTGGAAGACAGCAACGTGCCTTGAGCTGTGTTCCTCCTAGGAGCAGGCCATCTTTCATTCTTTGATCATGCAGCTGTTACCAATACTAAGATGTCAGGTTATGCAGAAGTCAGCAGTTTTGTGGATGAAAAACAGCTGCCTCAAACTCCACAAAGGGCTACTTTGGTATTTCCTTAACAATAATGTTCTTCAAGGAAACCTTAGACATCACTTTCTTAAACTCTGCCTACCTAAGGAGTAAAGACATGCAGCTCCAAACGTTAGAAGTGTTAAAAACTTCATACAACTTGAAATAATCACCAAAGCTGGACAACCTGCAGTGATAAAATGTCTTGTTTTAATTTCCAGCTAAAAATAAGGTGCAGAACATGTAGTTGAGCGTAGCTCTTGACATACCATGTGTATCCTCTTCTGTATGCTGGGAGCTGATACATTTCAAAGTGAACATCTGCACATAGGGAGTTCAACTGCTTTAAAATGTGGCTGGATATCTTAAGGCATTTTTTTTGTTTTTTAGTTTTGCAGCATAGCCCCAGTTCTTAGAGTTTTCTTTTAGTAAAACTGCTGAAGGACATTTCTGGTACTCTTGAGATGCCATGTATTTCCTGAGAATTGCTGGTTCAAAGAGCTTATATAATTTATTTGTACAAAAATAGTTGGAAGAACAAGCTAATCCTTTAAAAACTGCAGCTATCTGATAGATAATGTGTTCTCTGGGTTGGATAGAAAGAATTTGTACTTTGCTTAATGGTCAGAGCACGTTACATGTTCATGTACTTATATTTTAGCAGAAAACTTACTGGGAGGCAGTTTATAGTAAAGAAAGCCATCTTATAAAATACTGTGATTCATCTTGAAGAAGGAGAGAATAATAGTGTTCTGAACCTGACAATGTAACTTAAACAAACAAACAAAGAAAAAAACCCACAAACAAACTAACTTTTAGCTCTCAGCTCTTTTTGTAGCCAATCAGAAAGGATTGGTTAGCAGTGGAATCTCAAAGTGAGAATGTATTTGACCTAGTTTTTCTAACATGCTAATTGACCCAATATTTCCAATTCGTATTTTCTTTAACTTAAGCACAGGAACTCAGTGATTTCAGTGTACATGTTAGTGGCATGAGTTTAATGCTAAAAATGGAGGTGTACATTTTGTAGTAGAAAAATTTTATCCTAGTAAATTGTATAGAAAATTCTGAATAAGTCTCTTCAGTTTCAGGGGTTTTTTTGCAATTGCTAATAAGAATAATTTCTCATGTTTGTTTTGGTTTTTTTTTAAGATCCACTTTTTCATTTTACTCTATCACAATTATACTTTGTCCACAGATAGCTGACTAAAAGAGTCATATTTGAGGCTGAAAACCAGAGAACAATTATATATCAACATTCAAAATGGACTAGGAGCATTTTGGTGTGTAGTTACAGCTGCTCTTACTTGATTAAGATAACTTTTTGTTGAAGTAATCACTTGAAGAGATTTTTAATTAATAGCTGTTCATAGTAAATAGGTTGTGTTTGTATTTTAATAAATCACTTCCTATTATTTTACCAGAGACAATGATGCAGTCTTCAGTTATCACAAAGGTGTTTGCTTTACTTGTTTCTTAGTAGTGGTTTATTACATGCACCATAGGAGTAATCCCCTGGAAATCAATAAGGTTGTGGTGATTTACATAGGCATATGGTAAACAAGGATAGACATGAGAGATGCCACAAAGAAGTTTTGCTATACTGACTGTTGAAAATTTGATCTCATAATGCTTGGCAATATTTCTATTGGAGCATGTGAGAATTTTCACCCCTCTTCAGTTTGTAAAGTCATTTATGTATTACTTGTGTATTTCCATTCAATTTCCATTTGTATGCAAAGGGTTCTGCCTCTGCTCTGTGTATCTGTGAATTTAAGTACAGAGGCAACTAAGAACTAATAAAAGGGCTTGTGTACCTCTAAGATAAGGTGTATTGGGTTTGTACGGCCAGGTTTTGGTAACAGGGCAGCTACAGGAATAGCTTCTGTGAGAATGTGCCAGAATTTTCCTCCAGAGACAGTCCCAGCCAGTTCCAGGATGGATGTGCCTCTGCTCAAGGCTGGGCCCATCAGAAATAGTGGTAATGCCTCTCTGATTACATATTTAAGGAGAATTTTAAAAAGTTTTGTAGAGGTTTTGTGCAGGGTGAGAATATGTCACAGGAACAGGCCTGCAGACACCCAGGTCATGGGAGAAGGAGGGACAGGAAGTGCTCCAGGCACCAGAGCTGAGGTTCTCCTGCAGCCCCTGGAGGAGACCCAGGCCAGAGCAGGTGGATGCCTGAGACAAAACTGTGGTCCTGTGGGGGGCCTGGGCTGGAGGTTCTGACAGGGACCTCCAGACCCATGGAGAGGGAGCCCATTGCTGGAGCAGGTTTCCTGGTAGGACTTGGGACCCTGTGGGAGATCCACACTGGGGCAGGCTGTGCCTGAAGTCCTGCACTCCATGCTTCCATGGACCTATATTGCAGCAGTTTGGGGAGGACTGTTGCTCATGAGATGGACCCATGTTGGAGAATTTCATGGAGAACTGTCTCCCATGGGTGGGATCCTGTGATCGTGTATGGGAAGGACTCCTCTCCCTCAGCAGGAATGTATGATCAACTGACCATAACTCCCATTCCCTGTCTCCCTGCACTTGCTACAGGGAGGGTACAAAGCTGGGAAGGAGGGAGAAGTAGAGGGGAGGTTATTTTAAGATTTAATTTTACTTCTCATCATCCAGCAATAGGAGTGAGTCTGTTTTGCATGTGATGGCATTTGGTGCATGATCTCTCACAGTCCTTAACTTGTGAGCTCTTCATTATATTTTCTCTCCCCTGTCCAGTTGTGGAGGGGAGTGACAAGCTCTGGTGGGCATCTGGCATTCAGCCATGATCAACATAAGGTTTTCTTTAATTACTTTCTTTCAAGCATTCTTAGGTGTTCATAGTTGCTATTTAAACTCTTGGCAGTACTGCATATATTTTAGCACCTAAATTCCTAAAATAATATCATGGTCTCTTGTTCACAGAGGAGTGTACTGGTATAGTTTGTCCTTAATTCTTCCATATACTTGTAATCTGGAGAAAAGAATTCAGCCTTTTTCTTAATTCTGGAGGCCATCTCTATCCACATGGATGACTGGAAGGTGATCAGCAACAGCCAGCATGCATTCACTGCAGATAAATCATGCCTGACCAACCTGATTGACTTTTATGATGAAACTGCCTGGATGGAGGAGGGGAGAGCAGTGGAACCTCAACTTCAGCAAGGCTTTTGACACTGTGTCTCACAGCATTCTTGTAGGAAAATTCAAGAGGTGTGGACTGGATGAGTGGACAGTGAGGTGGATTGAGAATGTCAGAACCAAGAGGGTTGTAATCCCTGGCCCAGGGTCCAGCTGGATGCAATCCCTGGCCCAGGGTCTAGCTGCAGGCCTGTCACTGGTGCTGTTCCCCAGGGTTCAGTACAGGGGCCAGGGCTGTTTAACTCACCAGTGACTTGGGTGAAGGGACAGATGCCTCCTGAGCAAGTTTGCTGAGGATGCAGAGCTGGGTGCAATGGCTGATACCCCAGAGGGCCGTGCAGCCCTTCAGAGGACCTCGACAGCTTGGGGAGATGGGCAGAGAGGAACCTTCTGAAATTCAGCAAAGGCAAATGCAGGGTCCTGCACGTGGGGAAGAACAACCCCAGGCACCAGCACAGGCTGGGGCTGACCTGCTGGGGAGCAGCTCTGGGGGTCCTGGTGGACAGCAAGCTGTCCATGAGCCAGCAGCGTGTCCTGGTGGCCAAGAATGTCAATGGTATCCTGGGGAGCATTGGGAAGAGCAGTGCCAGCAGGTGGAGGGAGGTGATCCTGCCCCTCTACTCAGCCCTGGTGAGGCCTCACCTGGAGTGCTGTGTCCAGTTCTGGGCTCCTCAGGACAACAAAGACATGGGACTCCTGAAGCAGGTCTAGCAGAGGGCAATGAAGTTGATTAGGGGACTGGAGCACCCCTCCTCCAAGGAAAAGCTGAGGAGAGATGACTGAGACGGAACATGATCAATGTCTATCAGTATCTGATGGGAAGGTGTCAAGAGGATGAAGCCAGGCTGTGCTCAGTGATGTCAAGCAGTAGGACAAGAGGCAATGGGCAGAAACTGATGCCCAGGAAGTTCCACCTGAACATGAGGAAGAACTTTGTTACTGTGGGGTTGACCGAGCACTGGAACAGAGAGGTTGAGTCTCCCTCACCGGAAATAATCAGGCAGCATCTGGACACAATTCTGTGCCATGTGCTCTGGGATGACCCTGCTGGAGCATGGAGGTTAAATTAAGTTGGACCAAATGACCCACTGCACTATCTTCCAACCTGACCGATCCGTGATTTTGTGATTTTAGTTATTTATTTTGTAGTCTTGCACTAGCAAGACCCCAAAGGTTGCACATCTGTTTCTCCCAAACCTGTGCCCTGAGGCACAGGTACCTAACACCACAGACATGGTGAATTACAAGAACAGATGCAAATGATAAATAGCTGTAAATATCAACTCCTACATAGGAAACAATGCAAAAGTAGCCTTATTTTTAATGTACTTTCACATTTATTGATGTATTTAATTTCTTAATTTCTTCCTTTTGCTCCAATAGAATAGTGAAGTGGACACCACAATACAATAGAGGTTGAATTTGCAGTTGTGGAAAACAAACCAATTTTGCCACATTTTATTTTACTTTAATACCTGCAAATGTGGGTTGTAAAATTAAGAAAAGAAATTACTGTTTAAAATGTTTTATTGCAACACTGTATATTGCATTTGCTTCTAACTTAACTATCTTTCTGCTGTGTTTTTAGGAGATTCTTAGGAATGAAAATTATAGAGAAGAAATGAAGCAGAAAGTCAAGGATGTGTCTGAAAAGGATAAGCTGCTTCAGGCCAAGGAGTATGAGGAAGGACTTGTTGCTGAACCAAGTCATACTCAGGTTAAAGGCCACGCATCTGCCCCTTACTATGGAAGGAAGGAGCCCTCACAAGATCCCACAAGCACTGCAAATATCTTCCAGCCAGGTGCCTGGATGCCACCAGGCAGTGGTAATAGTCAAAATAAATAAGGAATTTAATGGACAGGTATTGTTAATGGATTATTATTTTAACAGACAACATACACAGCTGTTACATACAAGAGTACAATAAAGTAGTATTAAAGCAGGTTCAGTTACTTTGGCAGAACTATTCAAATAGTCTTGGTCATGACAAAGTATTGTGAAGTGCTTGGGTTTAGTGAAAAACAGGGTGTGTTATTAAGTTTGGTTTTGACAGTTGCTGTTCATCAGTTACTCTTGAATTCATACTTAAAAGACTATCTAAATTTTCTTGAAGTCTAAATTGCCTTTTTCCTTGAAGGCTAATTTAGTTTTAAAACTGTTCTTGATGTAAGAATTATTGTCTGTACATTTTCCCAAGCCTTGGCCAATATATCTCTTCAGAATAAATCCCTTGGCAGTGCCAGCATGCTTTCCAGTGGCAAGCAGACGGAAAATTTGATTTCATTAACAAGAATCACTATGACACTACACTGATTACACACTGTACTCATCGTAGAGATGTTCTTGTAACTTAAAAGCAGTCAACGTATTTGAATGTTTGATTTTAAAACAGTCAGCATTGAATTTGAATTTTTGAATGTTTGATTTGCAGATAGCAATTTGTACAGGGTAAAATCAGTTAAAATACATATAACTGCTATAATAGAAGCTAGAATACTTGATAAAGCTGCTGGAAAAAACACTAGGTCTGGGACAAGGGACTGTCATATATATTTTAAAAAAATATTAGTTTTTATTCCTTGTGTATCCATGGACTTCCCTAGATGATGAGATCATTTTGGCCATAGTTCAGATACATAAAATGTGCAGATTATTTGCTTAGAGATGATGTTTGAGAACTTCACATAAAAATAAAGACCAGACAAATTTTTTTTCAAAAAGTATCAAATTTATTTACGGATTGTATCCCTCATCAGTTTTCCTGCCTGTGTTTCAAGCTATGTAGGTATCAAAGGTTGAACACATACATATTTGACAACACTTCATACAAAACATGGAGACTTAATCTCACATATTTATAAAATGCCCAGATGTCATATTCTAATAATGCTTGCTTTCACCAACAAAATTGAAAGGGGATCAACTTCACATTTACTTAAAAGTAATTTCAGTTAGACTCCCCACTTCTGATCCCCCTTGGTGTCAGCCAGCTCTATAGGTCTCTTCATTTGAACAATGGTATTATTTTAAGGTTTTATTTTTAAACCTGATCAAAGAGTAGCTGCTAGAATGCACAACTCTGTGCTGATGCAAAATTTAAAATCTTAATGACTGCTACAAGCTCTTTTGAACTAGACTACATAGAGGCCACCACACACATTATTATTATTAAAAAATTAGGCTTGGAAAGATTAATCAAGTCTATTAAGAAGAGATTAATTGGAAATAAGGTTAAATAATTTTGATGTATTTACAACACAAACCTGACTTTTCTGACTATGTCAGCATCTTGCAACCTGTAAGGCAGCAGAGTTTCAAGGGCCATGAGAACAAAAATCCTACCTAAACTCAAGTCTTAGATCAAAGGTAGCCAGGAGGTTACTGTCACCAGAACTACTGTCACCAGCTTGTGCATCATCCTTGCACAGCCACTTGCTATAGCAGAACACTAGGCCACTGGGGTCTTTGGTCTCACCCAACTTATGGCTATTCTTTGAGGCATAAAGAATTTATGAAGGCAAAAACAAATTAGTTCAGGTGATTGTTAGGGAAGATCAAACAACAGTACTGTATTTTATAGAACATGAGTGCCTTAAGAGAAATTAAGCTAATAAGAATAATCAGTTTCCTAGAACTTGGGCTGAAGTTAGTCTGTTGATGGCTTGTAGGGAAGCTAATAAGAACAATCAATCAGTTTCCTAGAACTTGGGCTGAAGTTAAGTCTGTTGATGGCTTGTAGGTCAAGAAAAAGGAAAAGCTAAGGTAGGTTATTTCTGCAGCACCATCAAAGACACTGCAGCAGCTACTATGGGCACAAACAGCTATATGCAGTGACCTTAAATTAAATCAGTCATGTCTGCTGTCTAATGCTACAGCTGGCTTGTCTCTACAGCCCTGCTCAAGGTATGCCAAAAACTGCATTTCTGTAATCCAGTTTATTATTCACATTTTCCCCTAAACTTGATAATTTTAAGACACTTGTTAAGTTAGCTCAGCTAAGAGAAAAAAAAAATAATATACCTCCAAAGCCATCCAAGAGGTTAATTTTTTTCATTTAACATGCAAATTTAGAAAAGCAACCTGCACTAGAATACAAGTAGTAAATTTAACTACTCTAACAAGTGTCACTCGGGCAAATTTTAACACAAATGAGCAGAAAAAAATTACACTGGAAGTATTAAATTTCATATTTCAAGAAATAACAGGATCAAGTATCAAAGGACAGTTGCAAAACAAAATGTACAAGTATTTAATTTTAAAAGTGGATTCTTTGCACAAGGAAGACCATTTTTGCCCATTTAATCCTTCTTTGTTCGTTTGGCCTTTGCAATATTCTCCTGGCGTTTCTGTTTCTTCTTCAGCTCTCGTTCCCGGGCCTCAATCATTTTTGCAAGCTTCCATGACAGCGCTGCACTAATGACAAACAGCGGCGTGAGAGCCAAGATCACGGTCGTGAGAAAGCCGTAGGGGTCCTTGGCAGCCCACTCCACGATGTACTCGGCCCAAGCCTTAATATCCAACATCTTTTCTGTTTTGCTATTGAGAAAACCCTGCAGAATATTAAAAAAAATAATAAATTTCTGAGTACTCAGCAAAATAAAAGCACACATACACAAAAACAAAAAACAAAACACAGTAAGTTCCACCTTCACATGGGGAAGAACAGCTTTACATTGAGGGTGGCTGAGCACTGGAAAAGGCTACCCAGGGAAGTCATGGAGTCTCCCTCTGGACATACCAAAGCTCATGTCAACAGGTTCCTGTGTCACCTGCTCTGGATGAGCCTGCCTTGGCAGTGGGGTTGGACTGCATCATCCCCTCCCAGAGGTCCTTCCAACCCTACCGATTCTGCGATACCAAGTACCATTTTAACATCAGTTATCCTTGTTCACTTTCAAAGGGCAAGAGCGTTTTTGCTAGAAGTTAAAAACAGTGCATAGTATGTGAAAGTGTAATAAAAAGCACTGATCCAATGTTAAAGTTCAGTGTTCACAGAATAATTAGGCATTTAATCCAACAGAGCTGCAAATGCTACCAAGAATGTATTGCTAAATGGAAAAAGAGTGCGGTTTGTGGATCGCTGGAAGTGAAGGAAAGCCAGCCCGGCTGGTTTATCTCCATGTAGGTTTCACCAGGGCGGCGAGGCTGTGCTTTGGCTGCTGGGCTGGCGGCAGTGGGGCAGCCAAACCCCGCAGCGGCCCCGGCCCCGGCCCCGGCTCGCCTCCCCGGAACAGCTCGCCCGCCTCCCTGCGAGCCTCCCGCCCCCGCCGCGGCCGGCACCGCCTCACCTGCGGCCCGGGCACCCTCCGGGCCTGCCGAGGGTGGGAAGAGCGTTTTTGCTAGAAGTTAAAAACAGTGCATAGTATGTGAAAGTGTAATAAAAAGCACTGATCCAATGTTAAAGTTCAGTGTTCACAGAATAATTAGGCATTTAATCCAACAGAGCTGCAAATGCTACCAAGAACGTATTGCTAAATGGAAAAGGAGTGCGGTTTGTGGATCGCTGGAAGTGAAGGAAAGCCAGCCCGGCTGGTTTATCTCTGTGTAGGTTTCACCAGGGCGGCGAGCTGTGCTTTGGCTGCTGGACTGGCGGCAGTGGGGCAGCCAAAGCCCCGCAGCGGCCCCGGCCCCGGCTCGCCTCCCCGGAACAGCTCGCCCGCCTCCCTGCGAGCCTCCCGCCCCCGCCGCGGCCGGCACCGCCTCACCTGCGGCCCGGGCACCCTCCGGGCCTGCCGAGGGCGGAAGGGCGAGCCGAGCTCCCTGCGGAGAGAACACACGGGGCCGTGAGGGGACGGCGATGTTCCCCCGCCCGAGCCGCGCTGCCGGGGCCGCCGCCGCCCCGCGGTACCGCGGCCCTGAGGGCTCCGGGATCCCGAGCGGAAACAGGAAGGAGGCGCCCGCCCCGCCCCGCCCGGCCGGGCGGGAGCGGCGAGCAGGGCCCGCCCGCCGGGAGCCGCCGCGGGCCGCGGGAGCGCTCGGCGTCCAGTGAGAGGAAGCGGTGAGCCGGGAAGAAGGAGTTTCCGAGGTACCCGGATGGGTGGTTCACGCTGTGGAACAGCCTGGAATGCGGCTGGAGCCCCGCGGTGTTGCCGTGCGCTCGGCCGAGCCGGGGCCGCTCGGTGCGAGGAGCGGTCGGGAGGCGACGCGGGGACCTTGCCGGCCCCTGGGCGAGATGCCCCCGGTGTGTGCTGGTCCTTGTGGGACTGCTGGGGCGGCTCTCACCGGGGCCGCATGGCCCAGCAGGAGCCGCTGGGTATGGCGCTGCTCCCGCTGCACCGAGCTCAGCAAAAATACTCAGCTGATCGCCGTGTGTTCTGAGCCTTTCATGTGCTCGTCCTGAAAAATAAAAAAATAAAAAAAAATATTCTGCCTTTCTATGTTGCACCAAGCCTTCTCTCTCCGTTTGCACAGACACGCACATGTGAATAACAACTTTGTTACGTTTCCAATGCAAGGAAAAGTTTAGATTAGGATATTAGGATCTTGCAAAATCTCAAATTGTATCTAGCAATTCAGATCTGTTCTCTGTACTATACCAGCAAATGCCACCACAGCAATCTGCTTTCATATATATTTTCTTTAGGTCAATATTTATATTATTTCAAGGGCAGAAAACAGGCAAAAATATGTTTTGCTAAAGAGTTATTGACAAGACACCTGACTAATAACCTAAATTGCTTCACTTTCAGTATGTCAAATGCAATTCTCTCTGTGGAAAATTGCATTATTTGTGTGTTTTCATTAAAAACGTTTCAGGACAGGACAGGATAGGACAGTTCTTGTGAAAGGTACCTACAGCTATTATCAGGTACAACTGCCTGGCCGCTTCAGGGCTGAGCAGAAGCAACAGCGCAGAATTGTGCCCTGAGGAGCACGGCTGGTCCCCAGGCAGACACAGCCCCAGGCACAGCACCCCGCTGAGCTCTGCGCTTCAGCCAGGTCAGCACATGCTGGACAAGTTCAGAAGGATGCTGTGAGGGACAGCATCAGAAGGCTTAATCCAAGTTTAAGCATTCTTAATCCTTCTTAAATACAGGAAAACTAAATCCATGTCCTTCCTTTAAACCACTAGGCAGGTTACATTGTCAAACTGGACTTTCCTTCTGTGAAACTTTGTTGACCCTGCCTGAGGATGTAATTTTTCTTCAAGTGCCTTTCCACTGCAGCCGGTGTGATCTTCTCCATCTTTTTCCAGGTACTGAGATTGTACCAACAGGTCTTCCTGGATCTTCCCTCATGCCCTTTTTGTAAATTGAAATAATGTTGGCTAGCTTCCAGTCCAGGACCCCCAAGACTCCAAGATCTTTGGGAGCTGTGTGTACATGTATCTCTGTACTTGTGTTACTCAGCCGTTCATGTGAGCATTAAAACTCAGAGAAGTTATGGGTCCCTGTTTGGTCTGTAGTTTGGAAATCTTGGCAGAATGTAACAATATCAATTTATTGGATCTCAGGTACTGTTCCTGAGGTGTTGTATCTAATGGTGTCACAATAAGAAGGTTTTGTGTGCTGTATAGCTAAGTTAAAGTAGGTGGGTATTACGTAAGTATATCCTATTTCTGGTAAAATTGTATATTCGGCTAGAGGGGACTCAGTTACATTTCTGATGTTTGAATGTCAAACTCAGATGCATCTTCCAAAATAAGCACTGACTTAGTCAGCAGCTATATACGGACTTATTAATATAACCACTGCAAAATTAATTTCTTGTTCCAGTCTTTCACATAATAGAAATTGTCTGATCTGTCTGCCTTTCAATGTTTTCTCTGCCTTATTGCTTTAAAGAGGAAAAGTGCCTGATTTATTGTGGCAGGGAAGAAAAAAAGGCAGGTATTTTTAATTCACTTTTCCTAGAAAACAGATCTTACATAATTACTTTTCCTGCTGTCTTCCTCCTCCTAACAGTTTGTGAAGCTATTCACTGGTTATATTGGCAAAGTAGTAGAAGTCTTGTACATAATAATTTTGCTCCTTTTAAGATCTGTGAAAACCAACCCAGACTACCACCTTGGCTGAAACTGCAGTGCATCTTTAATAGGAATGAGGAGGTGTTATGGGCATACTACCACATGGTAGGCTTCATTTGTGGCTCTCACTTTACCAAATTCAGAATAATTCAACCATGAAGCCATGGTAGAACAGGATACTTGGTTTGGTTTTCTGAATTAATCTGTTTCCTGCTGTACCTCAGGTAGTCAAAGAGAGAACAGAAATTTCAGAACTAGCTACAACTTGCACAAAACATCGCAACCCTTAGTGTTCTCTAACACCATTGGAGAACTTTAAACACCACATTAAGCATTAATTTTATGTAAACTGTAGTTTTGTCACTGTATTGCTACTTCTGCGCTTTCTTTTACATCTAATCTAGAATGCCTTTAAATGACCCTGTTATGTTATTTATAGTTATGTATGTGCCTGTGTGTATTTTAAGTCATTAATTTTGTATCTCTCAGGAAAGGATCCAGTAATCAAAGATCACAATGAAGGAGTGGGCAGGAAAATGGAAACAGCACTCCAAAAATCTAGAAATAATAAGATACAATGCTGGGAATGCAATACAGGCATGGAAAATGGGAGAGTTACTTGCAAAGCCTTTCTCACACCAGCAGTGACTGAAGGGTCTGTGAAGTGTTTGGTTGTGTGTGGTGAAGACAAGCTTTGAGTAAATGTATTCATTTCACTCAGATGTGTTGACATGTGTCAGTAGTCCAGAACCTTTCTGTATAAGGAAGCTGCTAAATATTTCCCTCAGTGTTGTCTCTAGCTACCCTTCTCTCATTTGTACCTTTCTGTCATTTGTACAGTCTGAGGATAAACTAGTTTCTTGAAGCAGGTTTTTCTCTGCATACGCATGAATTCTCCAGTAATCCTTATGTGTACTTACTAATGGGCATGGCTTAGCCCACTTGCTGAATATCTCTGTTTCTGGAAGAGCTAATTAGAATTCTTAGGCCATTGCACAATGGTGGGGGGGTTTAGGAGTTTTGTAAAGTAGAAAGGCTGTTTATTTTTTTCTCCAGCCTGTTGAATAGCTAAGCTGTGAAAGCTTTATTGGGAGTTTTTTGACCATGTATGATATATTCACAGTATGTGCCAGCCAATGAACATTCTGTTTTTTACAGCTGTACTTAAGCCAAGAAAACTCTTTTGCAGCACTGGGGATTAAAGATTCTTTTTCTGCTGCAAATCTTTAAGAACTTTGGTGTTTCATGTTGAAGTGGATTTGCAGTCTGTGTTTATTCTGTAAATTGCATGGTCAACCCCAAATATTTGTAGTTGGCTATCATTCCCAACAGTTAGGTCTGAGTATCCAAGATGAAAGTGGTGAAAATCATGATTAGTACTGCAGCTGTACTAAATCAACTTCAAACAACCCTTATAAATTGTTCTACTCCTATATATATTCAAGGACAGGACATGTTGGGACAGTGCATGACCCAAAGATTAATATGCTGCATGCTTTTGTATCTTAAGAAAGTAACAGAACATAGAAGTACATTTCTCTGATATTTGATTAAAGAATGATCAAATGCTTCTGTGCTCTACGTGGGTTCATTTATGTAATAGCATTCTTTTTACTGCTGTTGTAATGAATAATATAACTGAAGAACTAAAGCGTATCATGCCTTACTCTAGCCTTCATTTGTTCTTGTTGTAGGTTATTGTAGTTCAAAAAGGAAGAAGAATTATCCAAGACAGAAAAAGAAGGTATTCAAATAGTAGGGATCATTTCATCTCCTGGATCATCACTGTATTCTGTTATGGTCATGACTGATGCAGATATTAACTGACTTCTAGAATTGTGGGTTATATTAAAGGGAAGGAGAGGAAAAATCATTATCAATACAGCTTTATAAATGATTGGATCTTTTCCCAAAGGTAGTTTAGTGTAGCAGGTCAGATAAGAAATGGGAATCACAGGAAAATACAGCAGCTGTGACATTAGGCCTGGGCTGATTTGGAAAATTTCAGCCATCTCCACAAAAGTCTCATCTCCATTTCAACAAAGCTGAAAAGCACTGGAGAAAGATTGGTAGGCCTGAACAGTATTTCACGCCATCCACGGTGCAAGTCATTCTCTGAAGCTGCCTGCTTATGCTCACAGGACTGAGGATTAAACACCTCAGTGAAATGCCAAATTGAAGTGCAAGAAACACAAACCAAACAGCCTATCTTCCAGTGAATCAAGTCCATGTATAGCAGGTGCTAATATTTATTCACCTTCTTAAAATACTTTGAGGTTCTTGAATAAAAGAAGCAGTGTTAGCATGACTATTAGTTGAACTTCTAGGATGCAGGTTTTCCTTGATTTTGTAGAAGCGTGAGTTTAACAAGCAACTTATGTCTGTTACAAAGCTGTGTGCAAGTAAGGGTTTTAAATACAACTTTTTCAAGTTCGGGGAGCAGGGTTTCACTTCTAAAATTTCTTCTATTTATGTTTTTACCCCATTCCTGTTTATAGATGTTGGTATTGCTAGTGTGCAGCTAGACATTTCAAAACCCTGTACAACTGAGTTAATTTTTGTGGCTTCTTCAGCAGACAAGACAAAATTGAGAAGAGGAATTGACATTTGAGTCTTAAATTACATCCTGTTTTAACTTGACTGACATACACTCTAAGGTAGAACACCTAGAGTGTACATAAGTCCTTTGTATGTTCTGAGAACTAGAGAATGACGTTCTGAGAACTAGAGAACAAGAAGCCACACTTCTGTGTAACCACCGCAGTTCATCATGGGAAAGCTGAACACAGTTATTGTTTTCATTGTTTCTTTCCAAGTGCAGTAACAAATAACAATATTGACTCATTGAGTGATACAGCTGCTTTCTGCAGGTCACGCTGTCCCTAACTGGAGTTGAAAAAATGTACCAGGGTAGTGTCTGCAACAGCCTCTTTTCTTGAATCATCATGATCTGCATATTTCGTAAGAATGAGTTCCTGATACTTCAGTAATAATAATAATTGTACTGTTTATTGTTTCAGTACTTTTAAGTGCTCATTACATGGTCAGAGTTCATCTCACAGCTCTTCTAGTGTCTTTGATAAATTCAACTTTGAATAATACATTTTTTCCTCAACAAAATTCCTTTTCACACCTCCAGTGGATTTGATTTCCTTTTTTCAGGGCACCTGGTATTCCAGTGTAAAAGTGAAGTTGGAGACTCTCATAATAGGACGTACTTTAATGAGTCAGGACTTCTGTAATACTAAGGC